TTTCTGAAGGGAATGCGCCCCCGTTCTACATAAATGCATCTATGTTCGTGCGAATCATTCATGATCCAGCCTCATCTACAGAAGAAGTGAGTATAATGTTTTGTAATGAATCTTTGCAAATCGCCTTTCCTAATAATGTGCTAATTAGCAAGTTTCACGATGAATGCGGCTAAAGTAAACAGTCTCTCTGAGAGCAGCTCAGAAGAGAGGGGCGGGGGCAGCAGAGCTCATTAACATTTAAAGGAAAATGCTACAAAAACGGCTTGATCTGAAAAGAGATGTTTTTGACAGGGTAAAAAAAGGTGTTTTTTATACTACCATTGAGAAATTTTAACCAAGCTATGTTACATACTTTTCATTAAGACCCTAAAGAATCATATCAACTTGTGGAAAATGGGCATCCTATGACCCCTTTAATAAACTGTGAAAACAATAGAGCAGAAAGGTACCATGCCCTGGGTAATACTATCACATGGTTTTTAGAGGTAAGTCAACAAAAATGGTGTAATAAAAATATCACTTTTATCACTAAGAAATATGAAGACACACAGCTATAGTTTTACTGTGTGAGGCATGGATGATGGTTTTATCTATGCTCAAGGGGAAGAATGCTTTATGTCCTCGCTTGTCAACAGAAACATTTATAAAACAGGTTAGAAATGAGCTTACTTTCATCTGAAGAACTGCATTCTTGTTCTCTTTCCCTTTTGTGTTTCTGTCTCATTCTCGTTCTTTCTCTACATCTCTATTTACACTTAGTTTAATCACCCCCATGGTTATGATTAATTAAAATAATTTTTCTATTAAATTGGATGCAGGCCAGAGGTAACACATGACAGAGACTTCTGCTACTCTCACAGTTTTCTGAGATACCCTCTTACATGGTCCAGCAATAATGGCTTGATCCACTCATCTCTTGCCTAATGATGAGGGAGCTTGTAGTTTTATATTTCATCCTTTTAATTTTACCCTGACCTTGTAAGACAACTGCGATCGAGTTGCACTTATTTATAAATTGCAAAACCATGGACTTGAAAGGAGATGAAATTTTCATGGTCTTTGGGAAATTCAACTGATAAAAATTTTATATAACGGACAGGATTTAATTATTATGGTAAGGAATTCATTTTTTGAAGTAGCACAGTACTGTGCAGTCATACCGATGAAACAATGAAGCAAATGTTCTTAAGGAGATTATTCTTTCACTTATTTGTTAAGTGCAGAGATGAAAAGAACAATTTTAAAGGGGGATTCTTTTCTATACCCACTATATGTTTTATCCATCTTTCCTTACAATGCACTAAAATTTACTGAAATTTTTAAATATTATATCAGCTCATCAAGGATATAAAATATCTGTGCATTCAGCATTTATGCTAAACAAGCCTTATGTTTCAAATCTGTTTGGTGAACTCTCTTCCTAAGTTTAAAAGAATCAGTCAAAGTACTTTGAAGTGAAATTGGAAGCAGAACACAGGCGGGAGTCTCTGGCCCACATTAGGCAAATGTAAATGAGACCCGTGGGAATATAAACTGGATGAAAGGGAGATTTAATGTTTCGCTAATATCATTTATTTTTCTCCCTCGGCATGCTCCTAATCTCCAAATGTGTGATCAGTATGAGGCTTATAGGAAGTGACAAGATCAGCTCACGAACAGATGAACTCTGTTCCTCTAAACTCTTCTTCAGCCTCTTTTCATTTGATTTCAGGAACTGATATCTGCTGAATGACTTTAATGGATTATTTTAAAGTTTGCAGCTGTGTTCGAACATAGAAAAACCATTTCAAAAGTGCAAACTCACAAAATGTGATTTGAGCATTGATTTATGAAAAATAAATAAGCTGTCAGATACGTGTGATTCTTCATATGATTGAGGTTTTCGACTAGTCTTGAAATACTTCATACATCGTAGATGAGCACATTTATTCCAGAGAAAATTCCAAATTCAGCAAGTAATAAGTACAACAATCAATGTTCCAAAGATGCAGTCATATATTTCCAAAAATAATGACTTTTTAATTATGCATGAACTAGTGGGTGTGAGTGATGACAACTTAGTAGAAACACTGAAATTCAGTTTATTTAACAAAAAGGCCACATACACGCTACAAAGTTTTGGGAGTAATGACCACATATAAAAATGGCTGAATTGTATAAATCAGTAGTTGTCAACCAGAGGACTGGGCTAGACACAAAGGGGTCTCAGCAAACTTCCAAAGGGGGCCTCAAGATGACTTAAAAAAGTATATATATATATATATATATTGAAAAATTTAAAGGGGTCTGAATACTTTCCGTACCCACTGTATATATAAAAACTCTTCTTCAATTTTTTTGAAACAGAAGAAGCAGCAGGGTTCCCACTAACTAGATAAACCTAGATATATAAGGTAGCCTGATTTTTTTTCAGAGAACTGGAAAAGTCATGTAAATGAATAAAATTAATAATTGCGTGGGCATTTTAAATTAATATGCTCCAGTTATGCCAAGCTCTGAAATTAAGAGGAAAAAAATATCAAGTCGAAATGAGATTGTAAACCAGGTAGAAGATCGGGTATTGAAATCAGGTATTAAAACATATATATCATTTTTTAAATCTTTATTCTTATCCAGGAAATCACTAATATTGTTGCTGACAGGGGAGCTTGGAGTCAAAACAAGTTTAGGACAACCGTTTAACTGCAGTGTATGTGTCCTATAAGACAAAGTCGACAGCCTACACTGTAAAAAGTAATCACTGAATCTACTTAAGAAAAGCGAGTAAACATAGCTGATTTTTAAAAATTTGTTGAATTTACTTAATTACACTGTGTTATGTGAACTTTCAGGTGGATGCAATAGTTAAACTAAACAACTTTAGTAAACAGTACTTAAGAGCATCTAGTTCGTTGGATTAAATCCCACTATGTGCCCTAATAACTCTAGACCAGTAGGTGGCGGAAGTGCACCAATAGGTGGCGGAAGGTTGGTTTAAACAAAAACCAGAAGAAGACAACGAACTGAACTTCAGAGTCAGATCGTGTTTGAAATGTGGCCACAAGATTAAGTACGTTTTTGGTGATCTACTTATAAACTATATTGTCACAGTGTGTGCTATCGTTTTTGAGGAAAAGAAAAGACAGATTTTATTAGTTTTTACTGACGAGCATTACCGTAACCGTCAGTTAGCGTACTAGCCCTGAGCTGAGGACTCTAGAGCCATACCTAACTCACTGCATTTAATGCCATGTCTACTTCAATAATTTTGGAAGGTACAATTGTATTGGATGATTTGGAAAATCCTCCCAAAGATATGCCTGCTCTTTGGACTTGGATTTATGCTATGAAATTATAGTATCCTCCAGTACTGAAGGACACCTTTGATTTCAGTCAATGGCTGAACCTTGAATGCAATCTCTGAAAAATCTTCTGATGTAGAAAGATGTCATTGTGGCGTGATGGAACATTTTTCAGTGTAATTGTTCATGATTGATCATTATTGATTTAGAAAATGGTAAATCTAGATTTACAAGGTGTCATAAAAGGGATGTTGATGTTTGTTTTTTTTCTATTTATTTCCTGAGTGCAGTATGTGCAATTTTTCTTACAGTGTTAAATTGTTGATTTGATAGCATGCCTAAAAAATAATGACTTGAAGTAACATTGTTTTAAACAAATAAATGCCCTATTGTTGTGCTAACACAACAATAGGGCATCTGTTTTCTGTCTTTATATGAACAACTTTAAGTTTTGAGTACAGCTTACTTGAGAAATTTAAGGCAATCTGTTTCCACACATTTGTCTAGTAATGTGAACAAAGCAGACTTGTTAATTGAACTGTTTTGTTTGAGTTCTGTGCACTAAGCTTAACTTACATCTCTAAGTTGGCCGAACTTGTCAAATTGAGTTAGCAACACTCAAGTTTTCTGGAAACCTATACATATACACAAGTTACCTATACAAAGTTACAGTAAGTTTTATTAACTCAAAAATGCTAAACTAATTTGCTTGAGAAATTTGAGGCAATCAGTTTCCACAGGTTTTCCAAGTAAGTTTAACTAATTACTTTTTACAGTGTAGAATCATGTATGACAACTCTACATATGACACCACAGATTCTGACAATTTCGTGCATAACTGAAGCCCTGTAGGAGCCCAGCAGGAGTTAAGGAGTTTCACTCCGCACCACAGTTCCATAGTCCTCAGCATCTATTCTAGTATAGTAGCCTTCATTAAAGATTTAGCTTGTTTTTGGCGTTTCAAGGACACTGCACAAGAAAAATAGTTTGGAAGCTTCATTAGCTTAGCTTCATATCTAACTTACAGCTGCAGTTACCCTTCCTGAATGCACCAGAGGAAGACTTGACATACAAAGCTTAATTTCTTCCATGTAAATTCTGGTTTTGTCCAATGCAGCTGTGACCACAAAACAAATAAGCGACAGATTTTGTTGATGGTTTGGTGTCTAATTGTGCGACAGCCACCCACTATATGAAATATCATTAGACCAAAATTCCACTCCTCATAACTGTACATTAAATATTAAATATCTTCTAATTGGCTGTAACTGTGTGCCGTCGACAGCACATTAGCATTTAGCATAGAAAGACAAATTGCTTGTTGTTGAAATTTTATTGTATCGCGTCTGGTTAGGACATAGTGTAAGTCTCTTCACAGTGATGGGCCTCTGCATGAGTCCTGCTTTGCAAATGACCATCTGGAGTGTCTTCTCTCAGACTCTATGAGCATCACTTAATCACAGTTCAAGGATTGTCAACCCTGATTAGGGAAATCGACTCAAAAATACATGCAAAATACACTACCTCTTCTCATTTTAGCTGTCTTGCATAGTTCGCATGACTTTCTAAACATCACAACAAAACAGACTTAATGAACAAAATGACAAAAATGAATCAGGATGATTCAATGCAAAGCAAAACATTTCCATAAACATTTTGTGTCTTCTGAGAATTCAGTAATTTAATTTTTTTTACAATATAAGAGAATCTTTTCATGTGAGAGTTAAAGATCTCTGTTAAGTCGTAGTTTCTTCTCTTGTATATACTGGAGGAAGGCCTTGGCTCTTTGCTCAACGTGCCGGATGATGGATTTGAGTTCGGACGCCTCTCCTCTGCTCACCCAGAATTCCCGATCCACAGACAGGGAGCGAAGGAGCATCCTCTCCAGACATCCTGATTGCAGCACTGAAACGGCCCGTTCTGGAAACCTACCAATCAACGAATACACTGTTACACTAACTGTTGATAAGTCTTATTTCCTTGAAAACAGAATCCTTATTCTGACATTTGTATTTGTAATCATAACTTGTCTGCTTCTAATTCAGTTGGCACTTGTATCCAAATGGACTTGGGTCAGCAAGTATGTTATTCAAAGGCAAAGTGTTAAGAAGTCCCAGTTCAAACTTACAATAGTTAACAGTCCACATTTTTAACCAATAGGCCAGTATAAGATAGTATAAATAGTCTAGATAAATCTTCACAAATATTAATACTTACTCATCAATACCTTCAAGCAGTCTGAAGTTGAGGTTGTCTTGTGGTTGATGAGGTCTTCCTGCATTGTCAATAAAAACCAGTCTGGAAGGTTCTGTCTTCCGAACCTATAAATTGAGGTTAATATACAGATTATTTTGAGTAGATTCATGCTTATTTATATTATGTACAGTGGCCCTAAAGCATTTGGAAACTTTTAGACATTTAAAGGGTTAGTTCACCCAAAAATACAAATTCTGTCAAAAGTTACTGTAGCCTAACCCATAGGACTTTTGTTTTGTTTTTGAAACTAATTAATGAAGATATTTTTTTAAATGAAGCCTGAGGCATTTCTGTCCCTCTATTATAAGTCCACACAACCAAAACTTTGATGGCTCAAAAAGTCCCTAAAGAACATTGTAAAAGTAATCCACGTGAATCCATGTAAAAGTAATCCATATGAATCCATATAACCCTTCTAAAGAGACAATCTGATTTAATTTATTTCCATATACGCATTGATCAATGCACATACATAGTGCTCATCATGCAGTATGTGGTAAACGGAAGCTCAGCTACTTGCCTGACACATGAGAACAAACCTCATTGGTTCTTTGGGTCAAGCAAGCACATTTGAGCTTCTGCTTACTATATGCGATGAGTGTTAATCAATATGTATGTGATTAAAATCCTAAATTAAATCTGTCCATCATATAAATTTACAATGTCTTTATGAACTTTTTGAAGCGTCAAAGTTCTGGTTCCGTGGATGTTCAATAGAGGGACAATAATCTCTCATGATTCATTAAAAATATATATTTGTGTTTTGAAGATGAACAAAAGCCTTATGGATTTGGAACAAAATGAGGATATGACAGAAGTTTCATTTCTGGGTGAACTAACCCTTTAAGTCACACTTCAACAATTTTAGAATTGCATTTCATTAGATACAAAATGACCTGATACCGAATGGTAGACCACTTTTCAGATTTTGTTGAATTATATTTCACATAATTGTGCCAAAAGTATAGTAAATGTGTACTAAAATCAGAAGTCATGACTATAGTAAAACTGAAACATCTCGCTTGCCATCGAAAAATCAGATTGGAATGCAATATAAATATATATAAAACAAAAAATTCTCAGTGTGCATGCATGTTTAATATCAGGGTTAGGGTTAACAAAAGAGACCGCTTGTATGGATTATACTGACTGCAGTGGGCTCTGTAAGTTTTTCTAAGCAACAGGGAGATATTTCTAAAATTGTGGAATGATTTTGTGAGCAAGCAATATTAAAACAAATGACTTTTGCAGACTGGGTCCAAAAACCTAAACCACAGCTACACTGGAGCTCTATTTCACCAGCTCTCTTAACACTATCAGATAATGACTACAGAACCAATCTAAAGGCTCCCATGGAAACTGATTGGCTTGACTTGTTTTAGCTGCCTCACTTTATTTAGCTGGGTTTCTAACTCACAGTTTGACAGTGAGCTCAAACTTCACGTAGATCTCGAGAGCTGTTGGAAAGTTATTGCTTTTGATACTGGAAAGCCATATTAAGGGGGAAAAAATTCTCTACACTCTCCTGGTAGAAAATGAATACTTTCCAGCTATGTGACCTTGTCACGAGGGCAGTCAGTACAACTTGATGAAAAAGGCAATTGCTTCATGTTTCACTGATGCCATAGTGTCATTATTTATGCATGTTTACTCTCTTCAAAGTCAAATGGTGTACTGGTCATTTTAAGGATACTTGCGAAAGCTCAAGAATAAAAAAATATTGATAAATTAATTAAAAAATATATATGTTATAATTTAAATGACGCTAATACCTAAATAAATAAAAACATCTACATAATAGAGCTAAGAGCACTGCAAGGTCAGATTTAAACATTTTAAATAAAAAAGGGTTTCTCCCATATCATATTTATCATTCTGGGAGCAGGTTTCATCTGCTCAAAATTTTGTTATTCACTGTATTCCACTGTATATTGCTGTAATGGATATTCAAGCAACCATGTAAAAATACTAAGAATTACGCTGGATCTTGTGCCATTGATGTTTTTTTTTTTAACCATTTCAGTTATATAAAATATGGGACCCTTTTCTCTACAACTGGGAGGTACTGTGAGATGGTCTATAAGGGTTGGACTAGAATGAGGATGTTCTGTATTGATATGTTATTATCAGAAGATCTGACAAATATCACCAATATTTCCTTTACCAGGATGTGCACCAGATTTAAGTCCTTTGGGTTTCCACATTTGACATGCAGCAGGTTTTCTACACAGAGTTCTGATGGGTCTGGTCTGAAACCACAGCAAGACCGGTCTAGTCTGTCATTCACCTGGAGAAAACAACAAATGAATCACAAGTTTAACAAATAAAAAAAATGAAAAACTGAATTCATATAGGTCCATAGACATTCACAAATAGGCTTTCAAATTTTTTTAAACCACTTACAGTATAAACTTGGGTAAAGTCATGTTTCACATTATTTTGAACGGGGGTTAGTTTGAACAGCTTGTCTTTTCACATTTCATGATTTAAGTTCAGGTCTAGTCATGTTTTTTATGGCAGGTCTTCTACCTTGGTTTCAGTTATGTAGTTCCTGTTTCAAGTCATGTGACCTCCTATTCCTGCTTGTTGCTCATGTCATGTTTTCATTGGTTCATTGTCTTGCTGTCTCATTATTAATTTTGCTCACTCATTGGTTCATGTTCATATTGTTTAGCAGTTCCATTTTGTCATTGGTTGTTTAAATCATGTGATTACCATAGAGTCTTGTTTATAAGCCCTCATGTTTGTTACTTTGTCATGTATTGAAGTATATTTAGATGTTCCATGTCATTGTTTATTTTCTAGTCAAGCCCATAGTCCATGCTGATGTTGTGTTTCATGTGTAGAATTAAGTTTATGTTTTTGGATCTTCACCTTTGTAAATAAACTGCAATTGGGTTCTCTATGCCAGCAATATTACATAGTGGTTATATATTTACATATCATACAAAACATGGCTAATCATTGTTATCAACCGCATAAATATGTAAATAAGAATATGAATGCAGTGTACAGTGTAAAATATTGCACAACCTGAGTACTCCGGGTTACTTGCTAACCTTACTGTATGAACAGTTTTCAAACTCATTTTTCCTTTATCAAGGCAAGCAAATAAACTTGCAAGGCAGAGAGATTCCAGTGGCAATACTGTGGTTGAACTTTTCTCATAACATTTAACAACATTACTCCTCTTTGGTTCCTATATGTGCTGGGACCAGACTGTGGGTGAGAAGTTAAGGTGAGATGTGACCCTGTGGTACAGTACGTGCTTTACCAGCTCATTCCCAGTTAGAACACCTTCCCTCCCTCTCAAACTCAATAGGTCATACTGACACACCACTGCTATATTTCACACTGTATAGTGAACCGCATCTGATTTTAGAACAACTGAGATCGGCTGAAGATGGATGTGATGGGTAATAAAGGCAATTAAATATGTTTTCCCCTTGCACTTTAGAGGATTTAAAGTTCAAATAAAATGATGAACATTTTGTCATCATTTACTTTTTTAATTCTATGGTGCTTGTCTTATTTTTGTTAAACCTGACATGATGCAAGGGCAAAAGAGATTTGAGAACTAGCGTAGAGAGGAAGATTCAATATCAAAAACAGCTTATATTTCGGTCTGTTCATCACACAAAACTAGCTTCAGAAGACTCACCTTTTTAACCACATACTCTATGGTAATACTTTATTTTTCGATACCACATACTTAAATAAATTATTTATTTATTTTGGACCTTTAAAGTGTAAATTAGTTTTTGTATGGAAAAGAGCACCTTAACATTCTGCTAAACATCTGTTGTGTTTCATGGGATATATAAATGCCTTAAAAATCGTTAGTCAAGATGTTTATGCTACTTGTCTACATGCTGATATTATACTAAAAATACAAATATTTTTAACATCAGCTCAGTGTCTGTGACAGCTGCTGTCAGTTGGCAGTATCAGAAGCAAACAGTCGTCAACACACATTGTGTTCTTGCCGCACATCATACTCAAATCTGTGCTCTCTTTCCTCACACAGCCAGCACTGTGATAACCTTAGGGCTTGCTTACGTAATGTTCTAGCCCAGTGCTGCTAGTCAACCATGGTGAATGCCACAGAGCATTTCTGTTGAAGACATTTCCATGTCACAGCCCCTGAATATTCTGATTAATGTGACCTTTTGTTCAGAAACTAATGCAATCATCTTTGCCACTGGTTTGAGTTATGTTGGGTTCATGCAGTGCCTTTATACTTACTGGTATACAGTCATTTTTAGCACATTTTTAACAAAAACATAGTAATTACAAATTATATTTTGAATATTCAGCATAATAATTTGAGTAAAAAAAGTAAAATAGCATGAATTTGCTTTAATGACAGCAGCACTTGACCTGCCGTTGACACAATTTGTGTAAAACTTGGCAATATAATTTGGCAATTTTTAAATGTAATATTGTCACGATGTCCTACTGGAGTGCCAATGTGCTCCTTTAGAGGGTACTCCATCATTTACCTGTACCATTGTTTCACGGACTACATCTCCCATAACACCCCATGCCAGGAACTAATTGCATGCACAGCTGTTTCTACTTAGAATGACTATTTAAGTTTCACATATTCTGACTCACATGGTGAAGTATTGTTTAACAGTTGCGGACTCTACCAAGGGTTTTTCATTTGCCATTGCCTTGTTTCATTGTTTTGTACTTTGGACTGCTCACTTGGATTTCAATCATTGCCTGTTCATCTGGATTATTCTTTTGCTCTCTGCCTTGGATTACATTGTTTGCTGGATTTTGACCTTGCCTGTTTTGACCACGTTGCTGTGTAATAATGCTCACTTTTGGTTCTATCAAGTGAATCCCTTTACAAATAGAAACAAGGAAATTTACAGTTAAACCCCGTAGAGAGATCAATATGCTCAGTGAAGCTCAAAGATGATCAGTGCAGACCAGGAGTCAAATTTGAAGTTCAACCCATTGACCGTTTACTCAAATTTTGGGCATTTTAGTACCGTTTTTTAAACCATTAACCAAGTAATTTATATGGATATGCGAATTTAAAGTGTAATTTAAAAATCCTGGTGCAGTAAAAGCTCTGAGTAACATTTTTAGACCATTAACTTTAGTACGAAGTCCAAATTTTAGCTTTAAAGCATAATTTACGTGGTTGCGAGAAACAGCTTTATGAAATTAATTCAGCAGTAATAATATGTGCAAGTTCAAGAGTCCATAAACTCATCGGTTGGTATAAATTGTTCAAAATTAAGGTTTAGTTAGTCCATTACCACTATATAAAGCTTGCATGTTAATTATAGAAGGCAGTGGCTATTTGCAGTTTAAGTAGCATATTTTAGATGCTGTTTACACTAATTGACAATATAAAGTATTTTATGGATATACTGTTTTCACCACTATTATTTATAGGCTATAGTCTATATAGTGACAGATGTTTACACCTCAGTTTTGTTGTACATTAACAGGATGCAATAGTAATGTAGAGTGTAAATTATTATATTTCTAAAATATTAAATGGATGCCGCTATTGGGACAATAAAGCCCTCCATACACCTATACCCCTAGCCCCGATATACTTTAGAATTAAACACTCCTTATGCACATTATTTCCACTTTTCGAATATTTTCTACATTGAAAGTAAATGCCTTTCTAATCTGATATGTGATGGGAAAAAGGAGAAGAGTGAGTCTGGCAAAAAGCGGACTTTAACTCTGGTCGATCACATCAAAATGCTACTTTTATGTGCCTTACTCTATGCCACTGCTCTGTTACCCGGGGCACGTCATTTTTAATTTTGTGTGGCCCAACCAGACATTGGTGAGTGTAATTAGTGTAAATAGCCTATATGTCAAAAATGCTGGTTAGTTGCACTTAATGTAGTAAACACTCCGTTATTGAAATGGCACCATGATATGGGGTGATATATATTGTACTACTGTCCCATAGAAACTTCAAGGGTTCGTGAAAATATATTGGATTTCAAAATGTGGATTTCTTTAGATCATTAGACCCTGCATTAAATCCCTCGGCTCATTCAACTTTAACAGCGCTTAAAAAGAAGCGGCGCCATATTTATTAAAGAGGAGCTCACGTGTTAAAAAGTAGCAAATATACTGTATATGTTTGTGTGCATAGGACCATTTCTGTTGTGTTGTGCTAATTTCGTTGTGTTGTTGCTTATTTCCGTTGTGTTGTGCTAATTTCATTGTGTTGTGGCTTGTTTCCATTGTGATGCGACTTTTTTTCCCATTGTGTTGTGGCTTGTTTCCATTGTGCTGAGCCGATTTCGTTGTGTTGTGGCTTGTTTCCATTGTGTTGTGGAGATTGTGCTGTTTTGTGCACTACTGGGCCACCATAAGTTCCTGTGTTGCAGAATCTCTAAGTTTACATGAATGGAAACTGTATGAAATTGAAAATTGTCTTAATGAAGACAAAATTGCCTCATAATTAATCATGCGACTTTTTTTCCCATTGTGTTGTGGCTTGTTTCCATTGTGCTGAGCCGATTTCGTTGTGTTGTGGCTTGTTTCCATTGTGTTGTGGAGATTGTGCTGTTTTGTGCACTACTGGGCCACCATAAGTTCCTGTGTTGCAGAATCTCTAAGTTTACATGAATGGAAACTGTATGAAATTGAAAATTGTCTTAATGAAGACAAAATTGCCTCATAATTAATCAAACTAGCATGTTTTTAAACTAGTGTATCTTAATTGCTGTCACAGACAGTAAAAAAAAAAAAAAAAAACTCATACATTTAAATACATTTAAAGGGTTAGTTCACCCAAAAATTAAAATTAGCCTGTGTTTAACTCACCCTCAAGTCATCCTAGGTGTATATGACTTTCTTTTTTCAGACGAATCCAGTCGGAGTTATATTAAAAATTGTCCTGGCTATTCCAAGCTCTATCATTGCAGTTAGCGGATGTTGCAGTTGAACAGTCCACAAGCCGTCAAATAAAGCGTGCATCCATAATAAGACATGCCTCACACGGCTCTGGGGAGTGAATAAAGGCCTCCTATAGCGAATCCATGTGTTTTTGTAAGAAAAATATCCATATTTCAAACGTAATAAACACTTTTTTTCTCTCACTTCCGGTTTCTGTAATACGCGGAAGTCGTTCCGTGGCCGTTCCGCGGAAGCCGTTCCATTTAAATCATAATTTGATTTAAATCACATTATGATTCCTATGCCTGAAAAAGTCATGGAACATTAATTAGTTCTTAAAAGTGTGATCACATTTACTGTTGTTTGGATAATTTGTGTGGGCAAAATCTAGTAATTTGGTCATTTGAATAAGCTACGTTGACCAACAGAAAGCTGAACTATTGACAATGGACAAAATAGCTTTTTGTTCACTTCCAAACCAAAATGCACGTTTGCGTGTTAAAAATGAATCCTATGTGAAATCGGTTGGTTTGGACATCAACAACAAAAAGTATACAAAGTGCTTTTTCCCCTCATAACAAATGCTGATTAGCATATTTAATTTGCTGTCTTATAACTGTGCACGATTATATGGTTAGTTGAATTGTATTATCTGCATTATCTTACTTC